CACTAAAGAGACCCCTAAGTAGCCCTAAGGAGAAATAAATAAAGTAGCCTTAACTATAAGTACCTAAGACCCTAAGATCTTTAAGACCTTAACTAATATAGTATAAACTATATACTAAAAGGTAAAAAATAAAGATATACTTTAGTAGTTACCTTAGTAAATATAGAATACTAAAGGCCTCTCTAAAGAAATAAAAGTTAAAAGGTATTCTTTACTATACTAAAGATAACTATATTAGTATATTCTTAGCCTTATAAACTAGTAGTAAAGAAGATAAAACCCTAGACCTTATTTTACTTCTTACTATAGCCCTTAGTTAAGAAGGCTATACTTAATATAAACAAGGACTAGTCTAGGACTAGGCCTTTAATAAGGTATAATAGAGGTAGAACAAGAGAAGAATAGAACTAGCCTAGTATATTAGGTTATAGCTTATACTACTATAAGTAAGTAAGATAGCCTAATTAAGGAAAAAGAATAAGGGAAAAATATAGAGAGCTTAAGGATTATATTACTACCCTTAGGGTTTTATATTCTTTTATTCTTACTAAGTATATAATATAGGATAAAAAGAATAAGGATAATTAGAATAAGGTAGATTTTAGGTTTTTCTTTAAGTAGTTTTTATAAGTGTTTTTTAGCTAGTAAAGCCTTAATTATCCTAATTAGGATATTAAATACTAATTAAGACTAATAAAATAGACAAGATATAGAATTTAACACTTATAAGTTAACCTTTACCTTTAACTATAACTTTATTATTATAGTAATATAACTAATCCTAGATATTCCTTTAATCTTATACGCCTAATTAGGCCTTTCTAGCCTAATTAAGTACTTTACTTACCTTATAACTATATAACTAAATAATAAGACCTTTTATATATAGTTCTATACTACTTAGTAACAACAGTATTACTAACTAAGTTTAACTGCTAACTAGAGATAGACGTTTAATTAATAAACTATAGCCCTAATTAGACCAAGGTCTATTAATTAACGTTGTTATCTTCTTAGATAGGGGTTAGTAAGTTACCTTTGTGTTTATAGGCGCTTAGGGTGCACTAGCAACAAGACCTTTAGGCAGGGTTATTTAGATTAGTTATATATATACTAACTATCCTACTGCCTTACACATTAATATCCTGCTCAGTTTCACTATTATATACCTTAAGTGCCTTATAAACTTAGTATATTATATAGCTTTTATAAAGGTTATTAGTAGCCTTCTAGATAGTAGTTACTTATTAGATAATATTAAATAAAGAGGTAAAGTTAGTAGTTATATAAAGATAAGCGCTAAATACTAAGAGGGTTAGTATAAAGCTATTAAGGCCTATAGTGTTATTAACTACCTTAACTATACTCTAAAGGATAAATTTATAGTTAGTAGTTAAGTACTCTTTATATATAATTTTATAGGCCTATTAAAGCACTATATAGTATTATTTAACCTTTCTAATGCTATAGTGCGCCTTAATAAGGATAATTTTAACTTTAACACCTATTACGTAGGCTTTATATAAAAATTTAGTTATAGTAAAGTTCTTGCCTATGTTAGTAATAATCTAGTCTAGAGGTCCTTAGTAAATATTAATCTAGTAGTAATAAAGTACCTTTTATATAGTCTTTATAGAAATATTATAAAGAAAGTATACTATATTAAAAGTAGTTATAGTATTAATAATATAAAGGATTAGTTAGTTACCTTTAAGGTATATAATATTAATAATAACCTTATAGTTAAAAGAATAGTTATTATATAAGGTAAATTTAAATTATAAAGGTGCCTTCTTATAAAGCTAGTAGTAATAGTAGTATTTAGTTAAGTGCTTAATAGCCTTAACCTTAACCTTATAATTAGCCTTATAAAGAACCTTATAAAGATAGTAGATTAATAGGTACCTAAATTATTAGTAAAGTTATTATAACTCTATGTTAGTTAAGTAGTAACTAGTAAGGCTATATTTAGGTAGGCTAAAGAGTATTTATAGATGCCCTTATTTTTATATAACTAGTACTATAATATTACCTTATTAAAGGGTATTTATAAGGTTATTAAAGTAAATAAGTAGTTAATCTATATCTACTAGGTAAAGTAAAAAGGGTATATTTATAGGTATTATATAAAAGGTAATAGGCCTAAATAGTATACTAACTATAATAGTGCCCTTTAAGTAAATAGCGTTACTACTACTAAACTAGATCTTTACTTAGCTAGCAGTAGCTATATTAATAGTTACTAATAGTTAGATCTACTATAATATAGTTACTTATAGGTAACTAGTAGTAGAGAAAGTTACTATACTTATATTAGGTAAAATACCTTAAAAGGTACCTAATAAGTAATAATCTAATATAAAAAAGGTAGCTAGATTTAATAATACTACACTAGGGTTATCCTTTATTAACTAGTAATAGATAGCTTAGTTAACTAGGCTAAAGGTAAGCTTATTACTACTAAAGGTAGTACTACTAAAAAATATAGTAAAGGTATAAAAAGTATTACCTTCTAGTTTATCTTTACTACTTTTAAGAGTATAGTTACCTTAAAGGTAATAACTAAGGTCTTTATTATTATCTTTATTACTTTCTTCTTCTTATAGGTAACTACCTTTATAGCTAGTAAAAAAGGTTTAATATATAGTTAGTAAAGAGTCTTTTACCTAGTAGTTATTTTTAAATTATTAATATACTTTATATTACTTATTAGTAGTATATTTTATTAACTAATAACTAGGCTTATAGTAAATATAGTACTTCTTAGTATTATAGTTACTATTATTATTACTATAATAGTTACTATTACTATAGTTATTACTAAACTACTAGTTATACCCTTAGCTATAGTAGGTATAGTTAACCTAGTATTAATTATTAAGGTCTACCTAGTACTAGTTAACCTTATTATTATATTTTATTATAGTACTTACTAATAACTATAGTTAGTTATAGACTCCTTCTAATATAAGCACTAGATTAAATAAGTATAATTTACACTTATAAACTCTAGAGTAAGTATTTAATAGCTAAGATTAAAGGACTTTATTATTATAGTAGCTATTAAGTAGCACTTATTAAATAAAAGTAAGTTTATTAATAAGCTTCTTAAGCACTTTAAGCTTACTTTTTTTAAGGTTATTATATATAATATAGTAAAAGGTAGTATTTTACTACTTAGTAAAGTATATTTAAATAGCCTTAGGGCTCTTAAAGTAAGCTTTTACTTAGGCAACTATAGTAGTAAGGTCTTAGATATTCTTACTACTAATTTAAGTAAAATAAAAGGTAAAAGCTTTACCTTTAAGTATTAATAAAAAGGCTAATACTATTTAGTGTCTCTTAATACTAATTTTACTATAGTTATTATAAAATAAGTTTAACTTAATATTAAATATATTATATATTTTACTAGTATACTTAGATTTATTAGTAATAATCTTAGTTAAGGTGCCTAATTACTAGGGAAAAAGATAGTTACTAATAGTGTTATTCTTAATTAGTAGTAGTTATCCTATGTCTTAGGGTTCTATAGGATTAGTATATAAGTAAGTAAAGGGTTCCTACTATAATTAATAATAGGTAAAGAAGAATAATAAACTATTACCTTATTAAGATAGTCCTTATATTATATTATATAAAGAAAGTAGTAAATCTTATATAATTAAGTCTACTATAGTAATACTAAGGTTTACTACTTTTACTAATATAACTTTTATACTTATTTATTAAGTTAGGCCTATATTATTACTAGTTATTACTTAAGGTTTATAAATATTACTAGGCTTTATTTAGTTATATAGGTAATAGGTTACTATTACTGTTTTTACTTATACTACTCTAGGCTAATATAACTATATTAGATATTATTTAAGAAGCTATTATATATTTTAATAAGCCTATTAAATATTACTAACTTATACTATACCTTCTTAACTTCTTTATTTATCTAAATATAAAACTTATTATTATTAATAATAGTAATAAGGTATAAAGTAATTTATTAATAGTCTTTAGGTATAAAGATACCTTAATTAAGAAGGAAGTTATAAAAAATTAATAGTAGTATTTTACTAGTAGCACTAAAGAAGGCTTTATCTTATCTATTAAAGTAATATTAAAGATCCCTCTAGAGCTTATAACCTATAAAGGTATATTTAGCCTATTTAGCTATATAATAAGTAAAGTAGAAGTAAATAGTAAAAAGGTCTTACTTATTAAAAAGGATTTTTTAGCTATACTTCTTATAGTTAATATATTTTATTATAAAGGTAAGTACCTTAGGGTATAAGGTACTACTAGATTAACTTATTATAAGGTTAGTTATTAAGGTTAATTAGTAGTAATTACTATATAACTTTTATAGTAGTAATTAAGTAGTAAGTTTCTTTTTAATATAACTTATACTTATAAGTCTAGATAGTACTAGGTTAGTTTTATATATATAAGGTAAATAAGGATAGTTTCTAAAGAGGTAAATATAAAGATAAAAGAAAAGTTAAATAAGGTAGTAATTATTACTACTTAAGTGTCTTTTCTTAATAGCGCTATAGTTAGTATAAAAGAGGTTCTTGCTTATTAAAGGGGTTCTAATAGCGTAATAGACACTATAGTGTTTCTTATAGAGGTAAAGTAGCCTTAATAATACTTAACTTAGTTAGTAATCTACTAGGTTATAGTAGGCTAAGTAAACTCCTATAATAGTAAGCCTTATTAATTACTAGTTATTAGTAATAATTAACTATTAATTAATATTAGTTTTTACTAGATAATTAATAAAGATCCTATATCTTATAATATTATAAAGGTTAAAAAAAGGTAGTTAAATTTATAGTTATTAATAGTTAACTAGTTAACAAGGTTAAGTGGGAGCATAAGTGTAGTAGCACCCTTGCGTGTAGGCAAGAGTAGGAATTCTGCCGGTAGGCGGTGTGTCACGTGACCCACCGCCTCCGGCCGCATTACCCATATGCCAACAGAAACACTTTCTCGAGAAAGATGTGCAATTTTCTTAGCAACCCTCAGCACCATCTCTCTTAACATCCTCGTAATAATCATTACGATTCTCATGTACACCATCGCCCTCACAACCATCACCCTGATTGTTATCATTCACATCAAGCTCGAGAATTCATTTTCTGGCAGTAATGGGTCGGATTCTCCAGACCTAGGTGGCTCACAGCAAAATGATCCCGGAGACCAAGATAATTCAAGAGGCCCGAATGGTCCTAGAGGTCCTCGGAGGCCACGAGGAGGGGGCCCACGAGATTCAGAAGGTCCACGTACGCCATCAATGCCAGGGGAAGCTTCAATGGGACTGTCAGGGAACTCAGGTGGTGTGCTAAGCCCGTCCATAGACCGTTCAGGCAAATACCCAAAAGATCAACCAATGTTGGCACTTCGTGCCAGCATTGCACCACACATACACTTATTAAGGGAAGTCCCCACTTATTCCCTTACAGGGACTTAATGAAGCCGAGGAGATGGATTCGTTGATCCAGTCCATCAGAAGAAGAGTAATACCTCACCGCCCAAGGGCTCTCGAACATGCTACTCGAGTATGCCCAGGGCGAACAACACAGGAAAAGCGAGTGATGGAATTGGAATTGGAGCTAACGTGTTGAAGATCAAGTGCAGGGGTCAGATCGGGACCTCGAGAAAGAGGTTGGGCTCCGTCAGAGAGCCGGCGCGGATGGCCGCGTTTGCCTTGGCCACCATGAGGTCTTGTCGGGTCGTGGCTAAGAGCTGCTTCAGGCTCGGACAGGTGCTTTTACGGCTGTGAGCAGGCAACAAGCGGTCTTGTGTGACAGCTACTTGGTCAGTTTCCTACACGCAAAAGTAGTAGGACAATATACTAATAGTGTAACCTTAGATAGTAATACCCTTAACAGGCGTAATACTACTGCCTAAAGGGTAGTTCTAAAGCTTGTGCTAAGATAGCGTATTAGGGAGCTTTATAACATATAGGCAGGCAAAGCATCTAACGCCGTCGCAAAAGATTAGAAGGAACTTGAGAGGGGGGAAGCCGTAAGGGGAAGCTAGACGCAAGCGTAACTAGTCCTAGTAAGTCAGCTCCTAGTTATTGCTTATACTTAGGATATAGGCAAAGGCCGTTTGGAGGGTGTTAGCGATATCTTCTGGGGCGCAGCAAGGGTAACAGCGCCAGAGATGGTTGACGAGAAGGTTGGGTTGCGGCGGAATCGGCGTGTTGCACGCGGCGCAGAAAGCGAGCTGGAGAGAGGGGACGACATGGATCCGTTCGTCTATGGTGATACTTGGTTGGCTTGCCGTGGGGACATTGGTGACCGCATCGGTGTGCTGGAAGGGATGATACCTGACAGAAATTGAGGTGGCTAAGCCGTCTAAGCTTACGCCACAAATACAAAGGACCAAAAGAAAGGGGAAAAGGGGCGAAGAGACCTGATAGCGAACTTCATTAGAGTAACGGAGTTAGGGCCTTTTGATCAGGCTCTTGGCCTTTGTGCTGGGCCTCTTGGGGTTAAGGTTTATACTGCGGACTTTCCTTGCCTTCCTGTAATACCGCCGTGGCCACCTTTCATGGTCAAAGTCTCGTAACACTAGCCATGGTAAGGGGGGCCATAATTGAAAACAATGCCCTTTCAGAGCGCATGTTTCGAGTCGTAACTCAGGTATATACTAATCATGGAATGGGTGCAGTCACTGCGTCGAGTATATTCCCCACACCTCTTGTCACAAACCAAGGGTCGTCAGGTGACAGGGGACATGTCTAGATACGCATACTCACGAGCAATGTAGACCTTGACGTAGCCGTGGTGAAAATGGGACGCCTGCCCAGGGGTACCTGCTCGGCCTGGCTGCGTGGAGTTTGGGGGAAAGGAGATCGGATCGTGGCATCAAAGAGTATCGAATCAGTTTGCGATTAAACGTGTAATTAGAAACTAATGCCTACGGAAACCGTTGCTTCCTTGTGGTATCGACAGCAACCAAGTATATCTACACAAGAGAGCCCAAGTGAGCTCAACCGCCCCCCCGCCACGCATCGACCCTCACTTCCTCACCTCTGTGGTTCCCTGCACTGTCGTCCCACTGGCCGTGTCAGGGGAACCCGCAAGCCCCGGCCCGGGCTCCTGTCTGTTCAGGCTGCCCTCTCCTGCTTCATTCTCGGCCTTCATCTTCACGTTGACATTATCAGCATCCAACTTCTCCTCGCCAGATAGCCCACTAGTCTTCACACCTTCCATGGAATCCGTGTCGTTTCCGTCCTTCAAGTCGGCGTCCTTGACGCTGCTCGCCTGGCTCACATCCGCGCTCTCGGGGCTCTCGGTCCTCAGGCCTAGATGCTTCTCAGCGACAGGGTCCTCCTTGTTGCCACCCTTCCAGTCGGCAGGCCTCATCTGCGGTACGGGCGAGTTGGTCGAGGGCTCCTTGATAACCTCACCATCCTTCGGCACGACCTCGTCGCCTCCGTCCTCGGCTCGTTGGGAGTCGGCGACGCGCCAGACCACAGCGATTCTGTCGAATGCGCGGGACCCCTTACGGCTGGAGCCCTTGATGCCGTCCATGGCGTCCCATTCGATGTTGAATACACCACTGGCGTCAGCTTTGCCGTCTTGCTCCGGTCCGTTGCCCTCGAAGAAGACGTTGAACCAGACGTGGGCGACGGCGGTGACCATCGTCAGTCCCATGGACGAGGAAGTGCGGCTGCGACGTTCCACGGAGATGTTGACGTCACTGTTGGGGATTCTGATCGCCTCTTTCGGCTTGAGGATAACAGCCATGCCGCCAGCTTCGCCATCTTCGCCTTCACTCGACTGCCCTGTGGGTTGGGGGTTTGAGTGAGCTGCGACCGGAGCTTCAGTCTCACTTCTCTTCGGGTCTGCGCTATGCTCCACACTGGGATCCTGGATAAGCGAAGCCGTCTTTGCGGCGCGCAGTTTGTTTGGTTCGTTCTGCAAAGGTGCGGAATCATCGTCCCCAGCCGGCTCGTCTTCAGCTTCTTTCTTCCCTGAGCTACTCTTGCGAGCGTTGTTCGTGTTTGTGTGTTCTGAAAGCGGCGCCGCCTCAGGGGCCTTCTCGGCTGGCTTCACACCGACAGTCGCAATGTCAGTCATTATGCGGCCGGTGCCACCTCCACCACTCGGCGTGTTGCCTTGGACAACGATTCTCTCGCTCTTCTTGAACGTGTGGAAGACTTTGATCTTCTTCCCCTCTTCGACGAAGCCCTCGACGTCGAACTTGACGCCACTACGGAGTCCCCACACGTGAATCTCAACAACCTCGATGGCTCTGTCAATGTACTTCTTCCCGCCCTTCGTCCACCGGTCAACATAGGTGATAGTCCGCAGCTGGCTGGGGATGGAAATGCCGGCGCCAAACTTGGGGCGCATCCTCCTCTCCGTGAACCTTGTGAGAGCCTCCTCGGGCTTCCACCCGCACTCGGAGATGAGATAGCTACAGGACACAGTGCCGCTTCTGCCCTTGCCAGCCTTGCAATGGACGACCACGACTCTCTTGTTGTTCGCTTCGGCCGCCTTATCTACGGCACCGACAGACACATCGCCCCGCTCAAGATCGCCTCCCTGCAACCAGTTCCGCATGCTGGCCATGATCAGAGGTATCAGGCGGAACGGCGGTGGGTGGTGATCGGGCCATGGGTAGTGGCGTACGCGGCCGTATACCTCCTCATCTGGGTAGCCTGTGCCTTCGGCGCGAAATTCCCATATAGCCCAGTTGTCCTGGTGCTTTGAGTCGAGGAAAGTTACCAACCGGTCGAGGGGGTTCCTGTAGGCTCGTTGGGGGTACGTGCCGGACGGACCGGAGCTGGATGATGATTAGTTACAAAGCACAGTTATCTGAAGTCTTTGAGGGAAACCGTACGTTGCAATGATTTGGGAAGTGACATAGCAAAGGTCCAGATCCGACTCGGCGTGTCGTGCTCGTGGCCCTGCGACGATTTGTCGCAACAGAGAAGCCATGCTGCAAATGATGGGGAAGTGCGACGTGGAAGCGGAGCAAACGTCGGAGCAGGGGCGCGCGCCAGGGTAGCAGCAATATATTGTTGCAGTGCCTTATTATAGGCAAATGGGTGTTGAAGAAATCCGGTCACGGTGCTCGTTCCTCGTGACGATTCATTGTGTCGTAGCTGCGCCCTAGTCGCGTGCGGCAGCCAGCCTTGATGTTCGACCGACATACAGGGAGAGGTCGACGTCATTCATGGTAGGGTGAACCGGGGGCAACGCGGTTGAGCTACGCCACTTTCGGCTGTGGCTAGAGGCCGTCTTTGCCCCGGGCAGCTTGGCAGCATGTGCTCAGCCCTCATGCTGCTCCGTTCCTCTTGACGAGGAGCACGCGCGCCAATGTCACGAAATGATGCAGGCTAGGTACACCTAGGTATGATTGTGTAGTGATGCGAATTTGGATTTACTGATCAAACAAAACTAACAGACAAAAGCCGGAGCCATAGTAAAACGGGAAACCTGAAATCATCGTGTGATGCAGAGGGCAACCTGGAAAAGCCCAAGTCCCGGACTCGCCTACACTCCAATAACCTGAATGAATTGCGAAAAAGCCGTGTAAACATTGGCCGGCCATAAGCCTCCCCCCTCCTTTCTTTTCCGTTACGACCGTGTGTTCTCGTCATAAACCGTTCCACGAAGCCATCACCTGCCAAAAACAGCATGCCGTCGTTGGGGTTACAGCTTGACCCGTCGCATCGGCAGAGCCGTGTTGCGTGCGCCATTGCCCAACCGAGATCTTGTCATTACGCATCCAGAGATCCGAGCAGCTTTGGAACACGTCATCTATCCGAGGAATTTTTCAAGAGGTCTTCTTAGGGACAGAAGCACCGGCGATATACCGGTTGACATCGGTGTAGGCGTAGAACTGGCGCGCGCCTCCCTTAATTGTCTCCCAAGCCTGGCGAGCAGCGGGAGGGGTTCCCTGGTTACCGACAGCGGAGTCAATGCGAGACTCGAGAAGAGCAAGTGAGTTCTGGACGTGGGTGCTCTGGGCGTAGCGGGCACGGAGAAAAGCGGTGTAAATGACAATCAGGATCCAGGAGCGACGCTGGAAGGTAATGGCGGAGAGAAAGAGGCGAACCCAGAGCGCGATCTCGAGCGAAGACACGACAGACATGGAAGCATCGTAGTACTCCTTGACGAAAGCGCCAATCTTATCGGCGATGGGGTTTTGCGCGTACTGGGGCTTGGCGCTAGGAGAAGCACCGGCAGCAGGGGTGACGGGCTTGGGAGGAGTAAGTGTGGGAATCACGTTGGCGCGCGTGTAGGTCGCGACGTGGAAGACCGAGTAGATGGCGTAAGGGAGCATCGCCAACGGGTACTGGGGCGACAGAAGCCAGACGAGGGCCATTCCTGGATTGACGAGGTTAGATGCGGCCTTGTCCCTAAACATGGGTCCCGAGCGACCTACCAAGGTACTGGACGTTCTCATCGGCAGCCAAAGCAAGAGGGCTCGTAGGAGCTCTGGCTCCGGCCTTGCTGCGAGCCCTCAGCGTCTTGTAGACGACGATACCGTAGGTCAGGGCAGCAGAGAGAAAGGTGAGGCGGTAGCTAAAGCGGGCAACCCGGCTGTAGTAGTTGAAGGAGATATAGGAAAAGCCATAACGGATGACGGCAAAGATCAGGGACAAATGTCTGGAGCGCCAAGAGATTAGCGGATGTCCAGTCAAGGGGTTGGCTCGTCGGTCGTCATATTGGAGGCCATCTTCGGGCTTCTCCACCTGTGTACAGCTTGAATCGCTGGGTTGAAGGGAGAGGGCGGGTGGTGGAAGGGAATGGAATTCAGCAGCAGGCTGTCTGTACATACCCGGCAAACCAAGCAACTGTAGATAAAGGACGCGGTTAGCGACTATTGCAGAGGAGGAAGACATGCAGGCGGGATTGGGGACTCGACGCACATTGCAGGGTCTGGGCAAGCAGCATGAGCCTCTGGGTCAGAGGGACATTGGCGGGCGGAGGGGGAGCCATGACGAAATGTGCTGAGGCTCTCGAGGACGCGATAGTAGATGCAGCAGGTCGGAGTTTGCAATGGGAAAGGGAATTCGTGAGAAGAATCTGGGATGCAAAGCTGAAGATTTTGTGTCGTGTGAGGATTTCTCGGAGATGGCGGGTTGAGTTTGGGGGAAAGCTGGCCAGAATGCGCAAGAAGTCGAGGTGATGCGGTCGAGTGGCTGGACCAGTGTCGAATAGGCGGAGGGGTGGAGGAGGGAAGGAAAATGGAGCAAGCGGTGGTCAGTGCGCCACTGCGTCACTGCGTCACTGTTTCCTTCTTTCTCTGAGCGCGCGCTTGGCTTTTGGTTGGTTTATTTCCTGGTTTTCCCTCTGTTCTGTGTGTTCCGCACACATCATACATATACTTTGGTACCTATTAGTTATGAGTTAGGTATTTGCTTCTGCACGCGCCGTCGCATTCTATGCTCTGTCTCGACAAATGAGATGCTGCCAGCCACCAGAGGATGGGTTTCCCATCTCCAGGGTCCAGGTAGACAAGGCAAGCAGCGGCAGATCTGCATTTTCTGCCACAGACGAGGAATTGAGGGTGGGATTTTCTCCAGTCTCCAGAATCTCATCGCTGACAGGAGCAGGGCTCATCCAGACGTCACATCCTGACGATCAATGCGGTTCACATGTCATTTTTGTGGAAGAGCCTCAACATTTACCAATGTGTGGTGCGATCGATGCACACACTCCCTTCTTAGGAGTACGCACTGCAATCAATCGTGACATGTTTTGATCATCCTCCCCCTAATCTCGAACCACATCTCATCTCCTTTTAGGGTAAAATATCTGTGCCCGACCCGGCTTTCAGGTCATTCACCAAGATGAGACGACGGGATGCAATCCGTTCTCGAGCACAGCCATCAGCTAATTGCCGCCAGCAGATCACACTAGTGAGGGAAAAAGCACAGTGAGGAAAAGAGCACATGCGTGGGGGAGGCAGGAGGGGAATAGGGAGGTAGCCTCCGTGCCACAGTCTCTGTGCAATAGTCTCAGCGCAATATCCCCCTCCGGAAGGCCAGTTCCCAGAGACGGTATTCCGTAAAACCACCACTTATGTACGTATAGTAGGTACGAATACTCGGTCGATGGCAAACGAGTGAGCTCACTGCTGGCGCTGGCCAGTTCCGATGCAGTTCTGCCTGCCTGTAGACACACATACACACAAATCCACACGCACATTGCAAAGATTCACTTATTCACCACTACCGTCGCTAGCGCCGGACTTGCCTGTTTCTTCTCGTCATCCACCGCCCTTGGTCTGTGCTCCAGCTGGCGGGCTGCAGGCCACTACACTAGCTCCGTCAAATCAAATCATCAAGCTTTAACCAATGGAAATTCCCCGCTGGCAGTCGAGATGACGCACTGTGCGTATACTGCCTAGTCTACTGCCTTTCCTATAGTATATGTAAACCAATTCCAACTGTATGCTACCCCCCTGCTCAATTGGGGAAGCTGTGGCGTCACAAGCTCCCGAGCTTTTGGAAATGTTGAGGATTGCAGCTCGCTCAGCTCCGTCTCCGTGGCTTCACCACCACAGTCATTTTTGTCTCGACGGTCCGTGTTGACTTGCGCATCGCCAACCACGGAAAAAGCCACGATGCCTCCAAAAGCAGCTCCTCCTCAGACGGAGTTTGTCCATCCCGAAGCTGGCCATGCGCGAAAGAAGTGAGCCTCGCCGTCCCTCGACCTGTCGACCCCTCTGCTCAGAACCCCTCCACTAACAGCCATACTCGCCAGGCCCCCAAGTGCTTTCGCCATCGAACCCATCACCGTGTTTTACTGCTTCCTCGCCGCCAATGTTGTCTCTGCCCTCTTCGCCCCGATCCAAGACTGCGATGAAACATTCAACTACTACGAGCCGACCCACTACCTATCACATGGCTATGGCCTCCAGACCTGGGAATACTCCCCCACCTATGCCATCCGGAGCTGGCTCTACGTTGTCCTGCATGCCATTGCTGGAAACATCCGTCGCCTGATGCCGCAGTCCACCAAGGCAAGTCCTCTGCGCCATTCAAGCACTCTGTAGCTTTGAGCCATTACTGACCATCGCCAGGTCGGCGAGTTCTACTTCATCCGCTATGTGCTTGCCTTTGGCTGCGCCCTGTGCCAGACCCTTCTTTTCCGTGCCATCAGCATTACCCTCAATGCCCGCATCGGCCTTTTCTTCGTCATGGCCACCGTCTTCAGCCCCGGAAACTTCCATGCCAGCACCGCATACCTTCCCTCTAGCTTCGCAATGTACATGGCCATGCTCGGTGCTTCGTCTTTCATGAACTGGCGTGGGGGCCTCAAAACCGCCCAAGGCATCTTTTGGTTTGCTTTGGGAGGCGTTGTGGGATGGCCCTTTGCAGTGGCGCTTTCTGCCCCCTTCCTCATCGAAGAGGCTCTTTTTGCTGTCTTGAGTGACAAGGATCGCTTCATCGAAGCCATCCTTCGCGTCGCCAGGGGCGTGACTGCTGGTCTGATTATCCTCGTGAGTACCTTCCCAAATGCTCTTTTCCAGGCTCCTCGTCTGACGTGAGCCAGTTTTTCGATGGCTGCATAAACACGTTTTTTTACAAGAAGGTTGAGGTCGCCGCCTGGAACATTGTCAAGTACAACATCTTTTCCGAGACTGGTGGCCCGGAACTCTACGGCACTGAGCCCTGGTCCTTCTACTTCCGCAACCTGGCCCTGAACTTCAATATCTGGTTTGTTCTGGCTCTCTTGTGCCTGCCACTGTTCCTTTTGCAAAAAATCGTCTCTCCCTCCGGTCAGGGTTTCCAGACCGGTCTTCGCGCATTGGTCTTCATCTCGCCCTTCTATCTCTGGCTCGGCATCTTTACTCTGCAGCCGCACAAGGAGGAGCGCTTCATGTACCCCGCCTATCCCTTCCTGGCACTGAACGCGGCCATGTCTCTGCACATCCTTCTCGCGGCGTTTGGCAACTCTGATCCCAAGACTCTTGTCGGCAAGATCCCTGCCAAACTCAAGCTGTCTCTGGTCACTCTCGTCCTCCTTCTCTCCTTCGATATCAGCCTTTTTCGGGTCTATGGAATCTGGTCTGCTTACTCTGCTCCGCTGACCCTTTATAAGCCGCTTGGAGCTGGTGTTAGCGGTCAGCAGGGAGTCGGCGTCCGTGGCGATAACGTGTGCTTCGGAAAGGAGTGGTACCGCTTTCCGTCTTCCTACTTCCTCCCTCGGGATATGCACGCCAAATTTCTTCGTTCAGAGTTCCGCGGTCTGCTGCCTGGCGAATTCTCCGAAGCCCGCACCGGCTTTGGTTTCTGGAGCGGCACGTGGCTTCCCACCAACGGACTGAACGACAGGAACGAGGAGGATATGGGCAAGTACGTCGATCAGCGAGCCTGTGGGTTCTTGGTCGATACCCAGTACCCGGAGCGAACCGAACCTCCTCCTCCGAACGAGCCAGACTATGTCGCAGACGAAGAGCATTGGGAAATTGTCAAATGTGTTCCCTTCTTGGACGCGCAAAAGACTCACCCCCTGGCCCGGGCTTTGTGGGTGCCTGACTTGCCCTTCATCCCCGAAGAGTATCAAAGGAAATGGGGACGCCATTGTCTCTTGAAACGCAAAAAGTAGAACCGGTAGAGTCACCCGGATTAGGCTGTTCAGGTCATATGGTGTGGCCATATGCTTGAGACTCAATCTACTCATCAAGGTCACATTTGCCTCTGAGGAACATCTATCACCAACACTGTGGAGTCGATAGGCGTGATGCATTGAGCTTTCTCGCCACTTTCCAGGTGGTTGATGATATCTGAGGAGCGATCGGATTGTTCTGATGCATTGTTGAACAACACGCTGGTGCACCTGCTATATTGCCAGCATTCCAGAGGCGAAAAGAAAAAAACGATTACAGCACCTAAATGGAGCGGTCTGGGGCGATACTTTCAGGCCAGCTCTTCACTGATCAAGTGGGTTATGTGTACTACGACACTGAGCCAGGGGAATTATCGCATTAGCTTCAGAAGCAGGCGGGCATACATACAATCCAAGACAACAACAGTTCAAGAGTAACCATCATGCAATCAGACGTTATAAGCTACTACTTAGTAAGCATGGAAGTATGATGTCTACGTACCACGGGGTTCTGGCCAGTCCAAGGAGAGTATCATGCGGTGTTGCTGTGCTTCAGGTCAAGACAAGACCGTTATCAACCGGATAATGGGTGATAGCGGGGTCGTATCGGAGGCGCTCCCGGCAAGTGGGTCTGATACGGGATCCTGTCCGGTGCTTTGGTTGACTTCCAGAACGGGGAAGTGGTAGCAGACCGAGCCACGTGCATTTCCCCTCACGAATCTCACAAATGTCCCAGGTACCTTATCTACGCCCACTGCGCTGTTCATTCATATCAACCTGCAGCGACCAGTTGGCAGTCATGCCTCACAGCCGTTTCGAGATAAAGAGAAGCATAGGGTTTGACAAGCGAATCATCTCTGCCGCCTTGGACCTCCAAGACAAGAGTGTGACTGATTATACACCAGGATCACCATGCATCTATACTTCCATCCATTGGATGTACCCTGCCCAAGTGGTTGGAGATCCAGGAGGGTACGGCTCCGAAGCGGCGAGAGCCGATATGGTTGGCGGCTAGATATTTAGAGCAGCCACCAGCCCTGTCCCCTCGTTACCCCATGCGTGAGCTCTCATCTTGAGACTGGTACCCAAGTTACTGCCACTTCGCTGTGCACCCAACGTGTGATTATTTTCCATCTCCCTGCGGGCACACAAGCAACCCCCCGCGGAAAATGAAGGCCCTGGTGGGACTTTTCGCCGGCAAGCGCCCGTGGGGTACCGCGGCGGTCCTCGGATCGGAGAAGCGCACCTACGGGAAGCCGACGAAACCAAGGCTTGGTCTTGGAGCCGCCAACTCACCACAAGCGACGATATCAGGGGCCAGCGACATCCCTCCCTTAACTCATATCAGCCCGAGTCGGGCACGGAAACCCGTCCAAGGGCACCCCCTTTCGGGTCTGTCGACGGGTACGCTGCTCAGGTCACTCCTCATCACCACAATCTCCTCCCACCGCCTCCTCCTCATCCCCGCTCTCAAGACATTGTCCTTCCTCGCCAAGCCGGGACGGACCCTGCTCTTCGACGTCGACCGCAACCCGGTGCTGCACGCTGTCCTGCGCAAGACGTTCTACGACCAGTTCTGCACGGGGGAGACGGCGGCGGAGACGCGGGCGTGTGTGCAGCGGCTCAAAGCGCTTGGGTTCCGCGGCGTGATCCTAACGTACGCGAAGGAGACGGTGTTTGACCACCTGACGCAGTCGGCGATCGAGCACGGCAAGGTCTCTGGAGCCTCGGTCGGCGGGTTCGACGCAGACATCGAGGACTGGAAGAGGGGCACGCTGGAGACTGCTGCGCAGATCGAGGAGGGTGATTACCTTGCCATCAAGTACGGGCACCCTTCGTCCCATTCCGTGAAAAAAAAGTCCGCCGTTCGGAAGCTGACATGTCGAGCAGGCTGACTGGGGCCGGCCGTGCAGTGACCACCGCGTTTGCGGCTAACGAACTGCCGCCACGGCAGATGCAAGACGCCCTGGATGAGATTGCCACGAGTTGCAAGCAACGGGGCATCAAGATCATAGTCGACGCCGAGTCGACGCACTTTCAAAGGAGCATCGACCGCGTGACACTGGACCTCATGCGTCGTTTCAACCGAGATGGGACCGCTGCTATATATAACACCTACCAAGCCTATCTGAAGCATACATCTGACAACATCGCCAACCACTTGTCCGAGGCCTTCAAGGATGATTTTACCCTGGGACTCAAGCTCGTTAGGGGAGCCTACATACTCTCGGACAACAGGGCTCTGATTCACGACACAAAGGAGGACACAGACAATGCGTATAACCGCATCGCTCAAGGTGCACTGAAGAGACAGATCGGCGAGTTCGGTGGCGAAGGGCCCGCGTCCAAGCCCTTTCCGTCGTTAGACCTGCTCCTGGCGAGCCACAACAAGGAAAGCCTTTTCGCCGCGCTGCGGCTGCATCAGGAACGCGTGCGGAGCGGCCTGCCGACGGTGCCGGTCTCTTTCGGGCAGCTCCACGGCATGTCGGACCAGGTCAGCTTCTCCCTCCTGCAAGCCGAAGGCGAGGGCCTCGAGGGGCCGAGCGTGTTCAAGTGCTCGACGTGGGGCACGATGGGCGAGTGCCTGGCGTACCTGCTGCGGCGGGCGGTGGAGAACCGGGACGCGGTGCTGCGGACGACGGACGAGCACCGCGCCGTGAAGAGCGAGTGCTGGCGGCGGATGAGATCCGTGTTCTCGGTTTAGTCTGACGGGGGAACTAGGCGGTGGTGCGTGACGACAGCTATGGAAAGGGGGGGGGAGGATCCGGCTCCAATCAGAAGATCGTTACCAGTATATAGCCCATCATCAAACGGCAGGCGTGTTTTGACATTTGCATTCTCATCTGCTGTTCATGATTGCGGGCCGCTTTTGTGGTAGTGTCCGGGTTGAGTCTCGTGACTATTCACGGGCAGTTGAAACTCATTCGCAGACCCGTCAAATACTCTTTCAAGTAGTGCAGTACGATCATATTGCATCACACACCGACGACTAACGCTTACTGTACCTTCACTGGGAGTAAATGGCAAGAACGATGTCCAGATTTAAGGCTGTTGAAGGGCGAGGTATTCAGTCCATTCCAGGCTGGTTGCACAATGACGGGCTCCTTTGGTGGTTTTCAGCATCTGCTGAGGCGAGAAGTGGATCAAGTTGTCATCATAGAAGGCTATGGTCACTTTTCCCAAGTAGTCCCCAGATAAAAATGCCTACATTTCATTTCTTACTAGACAAACCTTTACAACATTGTGGTGGTCATCAATGAAAGAACATCATCTCTATCATATCGAGATATTGGGTTTGAGAAGCCCGTTTCGGCTTCTAGAAGTGCGGGGCATAGATACGCTGGCCCGGCTCGACCCGCCGTAGCGCCCGGAGACCTTTCCGTGATTACATACAGCCCCACGGTATCTATGCACTCATATACCTTATTCCACTAGGATCTAAAGCCAGCATTTGGTTCGTGAGAGCAGCCCGCACTAAGTGTGAAGGAATGAGAATGCCAGTCTAGTTATTGATGTTTTGGGCCAAAGCGTTGTTTATCCTGGCCAATGTTGGGTCCAAGGCAACATACAAGGGTCACAGACTACCGGTTTCTTCCCAAGTAAAGTCTCTCTAGAAACTCAATAAACACGAAGGACACATGGAAGCCAGCATCTATCAATGTGTCCAATCTGAGAGCCTACTATGCCAGGTGACTCCTCTCCAGTTCCCGACAACTGGGAGAAACCCAAGGTTCGTTTACACTAGGGCTTGTGAAAAGTCATTGTAAAAGCCATTTGTTCTTCATTTTCTGCCGAATCGTTCACAAAGCGAATCTCTGTGTATGGTTTACTGCTACGAGCCCAATCTCGTGGTCAATCAAATTCCCGGCGGATCCTCGTCGCCAACATGGTCGTTGTTGATCAGAAATGGACCGAGCCCCCCAAGCATGATCGATCCCTCTCTCCTCGCAAAACCAGCTCAGAATTCTTGTTCCCGTGCTACAAAAGCATCCTCAAAGCTGTTCACATTCTCATCAAAAAGCAATTGGCCCCAAGGGTCATCAGTATCCCTCTTTGACAGCCAGCCACTGAGCCTGCTGAGCGTCGTTGGGGGTTCCGAGAAGCTCGCCCAAGTCCTGCTGTCCAGGGAGACGCTCCAACTCGAACTGATAGTAGGCTCCTCCCTTCTGGTTCGTCAGAATGCGAACTTTGGTGACTTTGTAGAGCCCGTCGTAGCGTATACCGTGGGAAGGGCGGAAGGCGCCGCCCTTGCCGGAGGCGGATCGAAGGACGCGGACAGGGTTACCCTTCTTCAGGGAAAGATGAAGGAGCTTGGTTCCGTCCTTGTTCTGAGGCGTCTGGCCGGTGTGGACGTCCGCGCCAGAGCCGGAGTAATGGAGGGTGTTTCCCTGGTCGGCGTCGCAGCCCTTGTAGGCGCCGGAAATGACGATGGAGTAGGCGCCCTCGCCCGCATGGCCGGAGATTCCACCCTGCCAGGATCCGTGGGCCCCGTTGAACACAGCGGCCGCCTGCATGGGCCACCACGCGCCGGGCTCGATTCCGTTGTGTCCGAAGACGTGGGAACTCTTCTTTTGGCCCGCCGTATCTGGGTTGTAAGTGTAAGTCTTGACCTTGCCTTGAATGTAAGCAATGCCGTACATCGGTCCCTCGAGTCCGAAGATGTGGTGACCCAGCGGGGGGAGGCGGAATTCCACGGTCTTGAGACCCGAGTCCTTGGTCGGCTTCTTGGTCGGCTTGGCCTTTGTGGTCAGCTCCGCCTCTTCTGTCGCGTCGGCGAGCATCTGACTGTCGTTGTCGTCATCGTCGACAAAGAGAGACGCCTCCTTATCGCCCCAAGTGGTGGTGAGGGCTTTGGCTCGAGTCTTCTGCTCTCCGGTGAAGTAGGCTTGGGTCCGGTTTTCAGTCGGCTCCCAAACGAACCGTAGCATGGTCGCCAGAGTCTTTCGGTTGTTGAATGGGAGATACTCTGGGCCCCAGGGTCGGGTCTCGAGCCAGTTGAAGAACTGGTCGAGGCGGTCAAGAAGCTCGGAGGGCGGAACAGAGCCTGGACCGCTTCGCTTGGAGAGCAGGCCAATGGTGCCAATGACCTTGTGACGAACGTGCTCAAGATACGCGACGTCATCGGAAACCACGGGGATCTTGATGGTTCTGGCATTGTGCTTGACGGCATCGCTCATGGTCTTCTGATCTTCAGATTTGGCCGAACCGGCGATCGAGGTGTTAGACTCCACCACGACACAACGATGAGCCTGGACATTTCTCTGGTTCTTGGGCTCGTCGATAGCTCCGACAGGGTGATTCTGGTGCACTCTCTTCGCGGGATGCTCAATCTCGTCATCGGCACCTCTCTTGGTAGGCTTCTCCATCGAGCAATCGGTTTTCTCAGCCATCTTGAATGCGTTCTCGTGTTTGTCTAACGCTTCTTAACTATTTATCGTCATTAGAAAATAAAATAAAACACTTACAAGCACCAGCATTCCGTTCTGGTGACGAACGTTTCCTAAGGCTTGTTCAACACTTACCTGAGTGTAGGGCGTAGCCTGTGTGTTTGTGGTCGAACGACCGCGATGGATTCGGCAGCAATTTAGCAAAATGGACTATAAAGTAGTTAGTTCAATGTCTCAAATACTTATACATGGCTTGAATTACCTCTGAACTCGTACGGAGTCCTGAGTCGTAGTTCAAGTGTAGTTCTTCGGTACTGGAGGTTGTCGCGATATACCTCAGCTGAAGCGAAGGATGATGAAACAACAGTTGTAAACAAACGACGGAAGAAAATCAATAATTCCTGTGGGACAAAATATTATTGTTTATCCCGCTCAAACCAGATCAAAAAGGTTAAGCAGTCTCTGCGGTTTTCCAAAGAGCCGTGTAAACAGAGACACGGCTCAGTTGGATGTAAGTTACAAACTAGGCGAGAGCCCCTGCCAACTATGTGTACATGAACTCAGACAAGAGAGACAGACACAGTCCTCAAATGTGAATGTTATATTAGTGCAGACAGAACGAAGTCACATCTACGCCTGGCTGCTAGCTATTATTGATGGAGTTGAAGAAATTAGCCCTGGGCGTAGTTCTACTGTTTTAGCTAACAGTGACTAATGCAGGAACATGAAGGGAAACTCGGCGGTGTATGAATGAGCCAGGTTTTTGGAACGCATAGTGTGTATGCTTTGTAGACCATTCAAAAAGTAACGGGAATGAGTGTCGAATAAGACATTGGTCAGTGATTATCCAAACAGGTCAAGAAGAGTTATTTTACACGCCATTTGGATCTGATAAGATCAACAAAGGTCAAGTAAGAGCTTTCAAGAAGTTTCTTTTGACTAACGAATGCCCAATAATTCATTGATGGTGTTTCTTCTTAAGTCGGAGTAAAAGTATTGTGGCTCAAGAAGGAATCTCAAGCTAGCAGGTACACTGTGTCTAATGTCACGTTCAGTTGCTATATCTAATTGAACCGGCATGTGCTTCCAATTGAGATACAGGACTTGCTGTTACGCTCAGCGTAATTGCACATTGTGCTGAGTTTTATAGTGAGCCACAACATGTACCACATTAGTGAAAAGGCGAGCATGCCGCAAACATTATGTACTGTGCTAGAAGAAGAGTCTCTGGTATATTGTGAGCTGCTGGCTTGAGATCACCCAAGAAGAAAACGTAATCCAGGTCTGATGAACTGCTGATATGGTTGAAGTCTAAAGGGTACGTGGCTTATTATTACAATAGTAAACGTTGTCTACATCCATGCTACCAGCCTCTCAACAACCATAGAAATTATAACATTGACCTGCCGGATCAAAGATGGCTCATTAATTGTTCTTCAATTTCCCAACACCATAAAGGCAATTAAAAATCTTTTTGCGTTCCTTTCTGAAAGGTTTCTTAGATGGTTTCTTTCTAGCCCCTCACCTGTGCTTTCTTAACTTTCTGTAACAGTCGAAGTAATGGGTAGGTAGTTGCTAATATTCAGTTGGCTAAAGACTGACGGTAGGAATAAAGTGCAATGACTATGTCTTAGTTACGAGTACAAGGTGTTGGGGATTCTACTTATGGAGAAGTGAGTTGCGAGCCCCACAAGATGGGTAGGAATTAAAATCGATTGAAGCGCATGGATTAGCGCTCCTATCTACCCGTTGCACACTGCTGATGTATACCCCACACCGAACCAACTTCAAGGTCATGGATGCTAAAATAGATGTGGTACCGATAGATATGCTTTTCCGGGATCACTTGCTAAGCGCTCCTATCACAACGTATCTCTTATCTGTAGATGATCAGCTGGCTTCGGTGCAGGAATGCGGGATAGGAGAGGGACACCAACCCCTCACTGCTGCCGGAGTTTCCCAAGTCTTGAGAAGCTAGGTAGCTGTCTTTTGAGCACCCTGTACACCTTCCTACTGTGGTTGTTTCCTAAAGGCGTTGCTTGATCCAAGGCCAAGCTTTCAATGGAGCTCTCCAACACTCAACGACGAGTAAAGAAACTATCCTCGTACGCGTGCGTGGTTGCATCCTGTTGCAAGTTCTCGAAACCTACTTGCAATCGAAAAAAGCTGTTCACGATGTCGGAGACAGAAGATCAAGTGCTCGGGGCTTCACCCGTGTAATAACTGCACTCAGCGGCGGCTGACATGCATATTTGACGAACGGGATAATAAGATTATGGTGACAAAAGGGTAGTTAATTCGTCCCTGACTATACATACGTTTCATGAGATTAACGACTCACTCAACCCGCCTAGATACCTATCTGAACTCCAGCAAAAGATTACACGGTTGGAGCGAGCCCAAGTAAAAGCACGTCTGTGACCAACAAGACAACTCCTATCTTGTATATTTACCAGACGAACGAGCAAAACGAGAATATCCAAAAGGCTCCTCTCTTCCATTTGTTGTGTCCAACCATTCTTCTCTTCCCTTACTGCAATGTACAAATCATTTCAGTCCAACCTCAGGCTAAGCGTTCTCCTCAATATCCCACGGGAACCCATTCTTCCACATCAACTCGCTCCTCGGCTTCTCCGTCGACATAAACACCATGCATGAGTCTTCAGTGATGCTTAAGCTGACTATATAATAGAGACCGCGAGCCACGTGTCGAGCCACCTGTATTAATGCATGATGAACATGCTCATTGGTGCCTGTGTGGTGTCCTAGAAAATCCGAAGCGGTGTTTGTGTTATGAAAGATCATTCTGACCTTGCGCATGTCAATGAATCCGGATTCACCATGCCATCTAGCTGGGTTGGGGTTGGTCGAAAGATCAATTGAGTATAGGATTTGATTTGGCGTTGTCGGCAAAGCAATGATGGAAGCGGGAGAGAGATCCTTAGGCTGGGCGTTTTCCTCAATATCCCACGGGAACCCATTCTTCAACAACTCGCTTCTCATATTCTCTGTTGACATGACCACCACGCACGAGTATTCGGTGATGTTCAAGCTGATGATGCGATAGAGACCGCGAGACACATGTTGGGCAACCTGTATCAATGCATGATGACTTTTGTTGGTGCCTGTGCGGAGCATTTGAAAATCCGACGCGGGGTTGATATTAACGAATATAACGTTGACCTTGCTGATATTGGTGTCCCCGGGTACTTGATCAGGGCCAGGCCAAGTGGCTGGGTTAGTCGAGGGGTCAATAGAGTATTGAATTGGAGTTGACATTGTAAGCTGTAAAGTGATGGAAGCAATGGGAACAAGTGCCCGATTTCTTTGTTGCTAGGCTTCCGTAATATATGTTTCCAAATTTCAAGAGTGGTAATAGCGATGGGAAACGATGTGGCCATGAGACGATTTATTATATACTTCAAACTTCATCCTTAGTAAGAATTGCGTAGAGTATTCAAATTGACATATATGATACCAACTGTCCGTCTCGGGACAGTTATTGTGGTGGTTACGTTACATACAAACAGCGCAGTCGTGGTAGGGTAATCAACAAGGGTACGACTCGGCTTTGCTCCGATCTCACGTTACCACCCCGGCAACAGATTCCTGGAATCCTTGAACTGACATCCGCGGAGGAACTAGCGTCTCACTCACGTACATAATAATTTATCCCCCTCAAAAGAGAGGGCGGGGAAAGGATGTGTCGATCGTTAAGTAATAGCCGAAAGAACAGATGGTACCCTGCATGATAGGTGTCGGTCTCTTATCAATGGTTACCGAGCTTCTAATATATGTGATGGCTCCAGTGCGAATGAAACCACAGGGAAATTAGTGGCCTATGACGCCGGTCAGAAAGATTGCCTTAGTCCAAAGATGATGGTTATTCAATGTTAAGAAAGCGCTTCCGTCCGAGGTTTCCATGAAATTGATCGCGTTCGTCGTGTTTCAATCGAAGGCCCCTCTCACCACAACCTGCCGTATCGATGATGTTTCAGGCAACGGTCCTTATGCCTGCGATCATACTGGCCTTTATCAACTTGTTGGTAAATGGTCAAAGTAACGACGGATTGTTTGTCGGAAATGGCTTTATCGACTACAGAGCTGGCCGAATCAGCGGCCAAATCGTCCGTGATTCTCAGACGCTGGCTTCTCTCAGACCCAGTTCTGTCTTCGATTTCCTTCCTTCCGACTTCCTCTCAAATCTGACAATCAACGGTGCCCATCACTTGGGCGATGTCACATTCCGCTTCAGGGCCACTGGCGCCAGCGGCTGGACTGGCATTGACTCCGCTACAAACAGGAGTGCCGTTAAGGCTTTGGGCGATCTTGGCCCCGGTGTCATTGCTGGTGCAGACTTGGCCCCGAAATTGCCGAAAGGTGTGCCGTTGACAGTCACTCGTGAGTGGCTTACCGAGGGCGAAGGTCTTGCCGTCCGTATAAACCTGACGAACAACGCCAATACGACCATTGAACTCGGATCCCTAGGCCTTCCTGTCGTCATCAACAATATCTTCACATCCCGCTCAGCCGAAGATACCCAGGCAAAGTGCTCATTAGCAGATCCATATATAGGACTTGATGCTGGGTATGTCCGCGTGTCACCCGTCAGCGGACTTGGCAACGCGCTCGTAGTGGCGCCTCTTGGTAAAAGCCCATTCGAAGCTTGGAGGTTCCTCGACGAGCCGCAGGGAGACTACGGATATCAGACGCAGACGTATGAAGGAAACTACGAATGGATGGTTCACTCGAGGGCGTGGGCCGAGAGCGAATGGAAGAGTGCCGAGCCATGGAATACACCCACATCAAAGGAAATCAAGGTGGGCGAGACTTACTCCGTCGGACTCAAGTTCAGCATTGCGGATAGCGTCCAGACGATCGAGGACACCGTGGTCAAATCTGAGCTCCCACTCGCTGTGGGAATCCCAGGATATATCGTGCCCGCTGATCTCACCGCGCAGCTATATCTGACGCATTCTTCTCCGATCAAGTCCATTGACGACCATGGTTCTTTTACCGTCGAACAAGACACCGACGCAAAAGGGACGCCATACCTTCTGACTCCAACTGCAGGTACCTGGGGACGAGCCAAGATCACCATCATATACGAGGATGGCAAGACTCAGGCCATCCATTACTTCATCATCAAGCCAGCGCCAGAGACAGTTTCTGATCTGGGACACTTCCTCACTACTACCGCCCACTACACCGACGAGACAGACTCCTTTGGAAGAGCGCCGTCCATCATGGGCTATGACCGAGAGGTCAACGCCATTGTCGCGCAGGATACGCGCGTCTGGATTGCGGGTCTCAGCGACGAGGGAGGCACTGGGGCGTACGTTGCTGCGGCCACGAAGACTTTTGTCCAACCCGTAGAAAGAGAGGTGGAAATCCTGGACGAATTCGTCCACGAGACCGTTCTCGGAACCATCCAGCCCCCCGAGTCTTTCGCCGTGCGAGCAAGCGTCTTTTACTACGAGCCCGGCGCAGTCAACTACACTTACAATCCCGAGTTCGACTGGACAACCTGGGCCTCTTGGAGCAAGGAAAGGGCCTACACCACCGTGCGTGCCTACAACTACGTCCATCCCGTAGTAGCGTATTGGTCCCTCTATCGTGTGGCGAGAGATTACCCCCGAGTCAAGACTCGGTCTGAATGGAGTTGGTACCTGAACCAGGCGTACAGCACTGTCCAGTACTGCCTGGCTGACGGTGCCCCTGAGTGCGACTACGGCTTGACCGGCTTGATGGGCGAAACCGTGTTCGCCGAGCTTCTTGAGGATCTCAAGAGAGAGAATATGACACAAGAGGCGGCTGCTTTTGAAGAATCGATGCGTATTCGCGCCGAGTTCTGGGAGACTCTTGCTGTTCCCTTTGGAAGTGAGATGGCATGGGATAGCACGGGGCAAGAAGGGGTCTACTACTGGGCCAAGTAAGCCTTTTCCAGCACTCGGGATTCATACCCGTAGCCCCCCATTTGTTGACATGGACTTAGCTACTTCGGTCTCAACAGCACAGCAGCCAAGGCCATCGACAGCATCGCAGGATACATGCCGACTGTTGCGCACTGGGGGTGGAATGGAAACGCCCGACGATACTGGGACTTCAACTACGGCGCCAAGTACGAGGCCACCGAGCGGCAGATCCACCATTACGGCTCCGGTCTCAACTCGCTCCCCATGTTGCACTACTTTGAGCGGAACCCTGCCGATTTCAACGCCATCCGCGTCGCGTTCGCCGGTAACACGGCGCCTCTGACCAACATCGACGCCGAAGGCTGTCCCTCGGCGGCGTTCCACTCCTTTCCGGAGAAACTCGAATGGGACCCGTACACGGGCGACTACGGTCTCGGATTCTTGGGCCTCGGCCTCGGCCAGGCGATGTACATCGTCAACCACGAGAGTTACGGTGAAGTGGTCTTTGGCGGCAACGTTGTCGCGTCCAACGACACTGCAGTCGTTGCTGAGCCACGAGATGCTGTTCGGCGCCGGGTGTTTGTTGCGGACTGGGGGCTCAAAGTCTCCCTTAGCGCTGGGGCCATTCAGACTGCCACATATGACCGTGAAGGGCAGACGCTGAGGCTCGCGGTGAGTCGTTCTGCTGTGGCAGGGGCGCTGCAGGCTACGTCGACCATAGTTTGGCTTACACAGACAACTTTAGGGGAAGCAAATTTTGTGGTACAAGGGGCACCTGTGTCTAGGGGTGGATATATGGTAGACCTGTCCGCTGTGCAAGCAGACGTCGTGATTTCAAGGTCTCGGTAGCTCTATGTACTGAGAGAGAGCCAAGCTTTTCTCAGGTGGCCCTCGTAAATTCTACTAGGAAACAATCCTTGCCCCTCGTGATATCTACGAAGACTCTCTGGGCCTCGAAAATCCTCGATTACTCCCTAGACTTGCCCTGTTGATGTGTCCCAAAGTGGTGTTAAGATCTGGACCATATTTAACTGATACATGCAACTGGTCCGCTCATAATAATACCAAGCAATAGTCAGTATCAGACGCGATGCAGCTTAGGAGCCTTCCTCTGGCCAGGACCCCCTACGACGATGACCTGGCCGTTTAATTCCAAGACCTTCGAGACAGTGTCCTAGCCAAGGACGCTATCAAAGGAAGCAGAAGCGAAATGATGTAGTAACCGTACGAGCAGCATTGTTTTACAATCAGTTTACAAAAGTATATAGCCCATGCTGTTTCCTTCCGAGACGCGTTGCTTCTCTGATGACAGCACGGTGATTGGTCCATGACGTTCTATCGGTCCCTGTGATTGGACGTTCAACTTAGCTGTCTGTCTCGCAAAGGCCATATTAGCACGCCATGATTTCACGATACTGAGATGAAGGGCTCGAGTTCAAACAACGGCTTGTTGTTCGATTGGAAGCACAGTACCGGTATTACGAGGTGATGACCTCAGCCTGTTCGCTTTTGAGAGATGCGTCTGATTCCGGCATTCTTTTAACTCTGTCCGGCCTACTACAAATCGCGCGTCACCCCCTTTTGAGCATTAAGAGCGTCGGGCCCCCTAGCTTCTTCCGTATAACTCAACTCTAATTGAGGAGCACCAGCCAAGGGGGTTCGAGACGGCTATCATGTTCCGCTCATCTTTGGTGTTCCCAACTCTCAGCAAGGGGGTCCTGCGTCCCCCCGCCAAGCCGGCGACTTGCAGGCCACGCGTCCGCCAGCAGTTTTACTCCACGCCGCCTCTTCTGGGCCGCCTGACGGACGTCATCAAAGAGGACCACCGCGAGCTCGGGGCGTACTGTAAGCACATCCTCGAGGCCACCGACATGGACGAGCAGGCGCGCTTCCAGAACCTCTTCATCTGGGAGCTCGCCCGGCACGCCATCAGCGAGGAGCTCGTCGTCTACCCGGTCCTAGAGAAGCATCTCGCCGATGGCAAGGTCCTCGCCGACAGGGACCGCGCGGAGCACCAGGCCGTACGTGCAGCTGCATGCTTCTTTGTTTATTTTTATTCTTGTTATTTCTGAGGCTAACAACCCGCTCACAGGTCAAGGAGAAGCTCTACCAGTTCCAAAACCTCAGGCCCGAGGACTGGGACTTCGAGCCCGCGCTCAATTCCCTGATGGAAGACCTCCGGCGGCACGTCAGGACGGAGGAGGAGGACGACCTGGTACGGCTCGAGGAGGCCCTCGGCCACACCAGGTCCGAGTCCCTAGCGTGGAGCTTCGAGCGCACAAAGATGTTTACGCCGACGCGGAGCCACCCGTCCGCGCCGAACAAGCCGCCGTTCGAGACGGTCGTCGGGCTGATGGAGGCGCCGCTGGACAAACTTCGCGACTTGTTCGCCACGTTTCCGACGGAGGAGGAGAAGGCAAAGGCAAAGGCAAAGGCGGACTCCTGAGCCCAAGCCATGTTGCGCGCATGAAATGTAGCAAGAATCCCCCCCCTCGCTATATGAGATGTTATAGACAAGGATGAAATAAGCTTGGATGATCATAAGCAGGGGATCGAGAGGTCGGTCTTGTTCCACTTCTCCAGATTTACCCCACACATCAAATTCAAGAGGCCATGATCTTTTACCCCACATTCTTCTTTTCCTTGGTCCTTGTCTTACCATCTCCGCGAATGTCTCTGATATGACGACGTGCCTCTTCGATTTCCCTTGCAATTGGCTTCACTGACGTCCTCTCTAGTCTGGCAAAACCGCGTCCAACTGATCCATCAATGAGCCGATGCAGTCCTAGGGCCTCGGGAGCCAACTGTACTAATTAAAGGACTTGTAGGTTATGGCCGGGGCACGTTGTATTGCAGACCTGCAAAAGCAGCAGCAGTACGAACTCACCACTCATCTTTGACCCGAATTGACCGAGCGGATGCCCCCTCTTTGCCGAGAGAGACTAGTTGATTGCCTGTCATTGCCCCCCTTCCCCCCAAGATCTTACTGCGCCGAAGATGATGACGACCCCAAGATTGAGGAACCCGCAGGGGTTCCGTACTTGGGCCACGCCATCAAATTTCATCAACCGAATCCCAGTCTCCAGGGTCGCCAGCGGAGCTGGTTCGGCTTAGAACGCCGCGAAGCCTTCGCCGTTATGGAAAGTTTCCTCCGCCTCAACCCACAAAAAGGATTGTAAGGTGTCCTCCCATCCGGGCTTCGCTGCCCCGGGGACAGACCTTCCGGCCCCTCCTCGTGAGCTTTGGTCTCATCGCCAGCGCCCTAGCGCAAGCCTGTTGAAGCAACGCGACCTGCACCCACCCGACAGAAGCGTCGTTCCCCGGCCTCTGGGACGAGAACATCTACGCGCCAGACTCCCGCATCGCGCGTCCCAGATCCGTCCTCTCCCTTTCCACCGGCGAACCTCTCGCCCCCTTTTCCTTCTCCCCCCCCCCTCTCGTCCCTCTCGTCCCCTCCGTCCACAGCCCAGGTGCTGAGGGGCAACAGGTCGGCGCTGGTCTTCGACTTTGGCGTCCTCGTCGGCGGCGTCACGGCGGTGAACCACACCCTCACCGGCGGCCCCGCGACCCTCGGCCTCGCCTGGACCGAGGCGAAGAACCGGATCGGCGAGTATTCGGACAACTCCAACGGCAACTACCGGGGCCCGGGCGGCGCCCTCATCTTCGACGACGGCGCGTTCTTCCACACCGTCGACGTCCCGGGAGAGGGGTTTACACCGTGCCCCTCGCCCAGCTCCGCGGCGGCTTTACCGCCGCGCGATGGCCTACATCTGGGCCAGGGTCGTTCCCGACACGGGCGTCCTCAACGCCACGGCCACCGGCGACTGGGCGCGGTACGACAACGCGCCCAATGGCAGCGCTCCCAGCATGCTCCTCTACCGCGCGCCCTCATCACTGGCGCGTTCCTCGCGGATCTCGCCCCGGCGGACGGCGGCGATGACGCCTCCTCCGGCGCCACCGCGAGGGTGAACCTCACAGAATCCTGGCTCGCGCGTGCGGAGACCCTCAGGGTCGCCATCCGAACTCACTTCTGGGACGCGTCCAAGGGCGCCTTCATCGACGGCCACAGGAACCGCACGCTCTACTCGCAGGATAGAAACAGCTACGCCGTCGCCTTCGGTGTGGTGGACCCGGCGGGCCCCCGAGGCAGCCTCCATCTCCCGCGCGCTGACGGAGAACTGGACGCCCATCGGCCCGGCCTCACCGGAGCTGCCCGGCAACGTGGCGCTCTTCATCTCTAGCACCGAGCTCGAGGCGCACTTCGCCGCCGGCCGCGCCGACAGGGCGCTACGGCTAGTACGCGATAGCTAGGGGTACTACCTCAACCACCCCAACGGCACGGGGTCAACCGTCATCGAGGGATACCTCACGGATGGCGCGTTCGGATATCGCAGCGCGCGCGAGTACACGGAGGACCCGAGCTACGTGAGCCACGCGCAAGGGTGGAGCGGTGGACCGACGAGCACGCTGACCGAGTACCTCGTCGGGCTGCGAGTGACACGGCCCGCGGGCGCGGAGTGGAGCCTGAAGCCCGCGTTCGGTGAGATGTCGGAGGCGCAGGCCAGGTTCACAACGGCTCTGGGGCGGTTCAGCGCCAGGTGGGCAGTCGAGGGGGACTTCACGGCGGTGGAGTGGGATATGCCCACGGACACGAAGGGTTGGTTGGAACTCAGCGGCGAGGAGGGGAGGTGAGTCAGGGTAAAGGGAACGTGTGATTCACGACCCAAGACGCAGACGACCTGGTTCAAGCGATGCAGTAGCCGAGTAAAACGGAAGAATCCTACCTGAATCAGTAGTGAAGCACTTGGCTCTGATTAGTACCAACGGGGTTTGGGCATAAGGATTCTCCTACACAAAGCCTCAAGCGATCTAAGTCACATCTATACAACTGACGAGTATGTTGAACACCTTTTAGTCTACTTCGAGCTTCTTCGACTCCATCTCGGGGGAGGAGGGCTTCTTATCGTCATTCGCTCTTCCTGCCGTTGAAAGGATCCGGGACTCCGGGGCGTTCTGTTCCTCCCTCATATGCCGAAACCTGCTTGATTAGCCAGCTGGAAATTTACTGTCGGGTCTCTGGGCGGGCGTCTGTGTGGCACGTTAAGAGCCCGGTCAGCCTGGATGCCGGCCACTAAGCAGCCCAAGCGGGCTGAGCTTGGGTGAACCCTCCGGATCGTTTGTTTGACAGCGGTATTGGAATTTGCCGGTCGATTGCCGGACGGACATGCTCGAATCAGCATACGAGAGTCGATGCAGTCTTTATGACGCCAAAGGCGGCCCCAGCGATAACACGTTGAATGATTCTTGGGAACCAAAATGGCGACTCAACGTCTTTCTCTACATGGTCCAAGGATGTTCCGAGGGGTTTTGTTCTAGAAACATGTAGGTCCCTTCTTTATCTCGGCCTCAAGTCGTTAACATGCAACAGAGAGCAGCATTGCCACCAGAACTCGGCCAATGTTTCGGACGGCCGCAAGCCTCGTGTCAGCCCCCGCGAACTCTAAGAATGTCACCGTCGGGCGTCAGCTGACTCGGAGTCACCGTCGGGCGTCTGCTGACTCGGCTCTTGTTGCCTGGTGAGGGTAATTTTTGCGAGGCACTGAAAGGAAAGTCGAGATAAGGCGAGCATGACGGGAAAAGCAGGTTGAATAGAAATTCCTGCTTTCAAGGGTATCTTGTTCCGTTTGATAGATGATACTATAGATCCGTGCACGGGCGTTCATGTACGCCTTGTGCATCGCTTCACACAAAGCAGTTAGATCCTCATCTAGTAATTTAATCACAGCCGCCCGAAGCGGGTGTCTTTGTGTGTTGTTCTGGCCACGCCGTTCCGCCCATCCAAAGAAGAACTTTTTCGAAACCAAGAGGGGCGGAACGACTTCGTCTCCGCCCTTTCCCAAAACAACCATCGTCACGGACGCAAAATACCTCATGTCCCAGCCAAGACCAGCACTTGCTCAAGGCCGCTTCGTCTCCAGTCATGTAAGAAGAGTGACAGCTCCCGTTGGTCCTCTCGCCGAACGCCAAGAACACCAATCCCGAGATGTCCCCAAAACCGAATGAAATTGCAAAGCCCCGCATAATCAAGAATTCATTCCTCGTAGGAGAGGTGACGGGGGGGTTGTTCGACCGCCGGTTCAGCTAGTCGAAACCTGGGCCGTTTCGGGGTCTTGGTGCCCCGCCGAGACGGCGTCCCGGGCGGCCATCCGATCCCGCCTCGCGGCATCCCTCATCATCCTCCTCTGGCGGCGGTGGCGCTGCTGGTCGGGGGTGTTCTCTCTGCAGGCGTCGACGCAGTGCATGATCATGTACAGGAAGTGCATGACAGCAGCGATGAGCTGAAGCCACATGTACCAAGGGGCCCAAGTGGTCTTCTCGATGCGTAGGGGGTCGTTGCGCCAGGCGCGGTACTCGTGGTTGGGGCTGCCGCTACGCCAGCCGTTGAGGATGACGAAGTAGAAAAAGGCGACGAGGCCGAGCACAAAGAGAACGAAGTCAGCGACGACGATGGCGCCGGTGCGCATGCGCGGGATCTGGCCCGTCGAGTTGGCGAGGCTCACCATCTCGGCCATGCAAAAGATGATGCCTGACACGGACTGGGTGGGAAGAGAAGAGTGTCGAGTCAGCATATTTGTGGTAATTTTTCTTTCTTGTGCCGTAAACAAGCAAAAGGAAGAGAGAGAGAGATGAGATTCACTCACTGTAAGATAGCCCAGAGGAAAATGAAAGCCCAATTTCGACAGCATGACGAGGGCGGCGAGAGCGCACACCTCGAATACGACGAGGGTCAGGCGGAGACAGAACTGGAGGATGCCATAGAGGGCGGGGATGCGCGGGCGCGCCATGCTGGGACGGCGGGAGTCGCCTCGGTCGCACAGTGGGTCGCGGATGATATCGTGGGATCATCCGCCAGCGGAGAGAGAAACAGTGATGGCGTGTTTTTTTGTGTCGGATTACCCAGGTATGTAGTCTATGTTGGGGTCGGTCTAGTGTGGTTGGCGATGGTATGGTGTGGTGGCGGGTGGTAATAATAATAATAGCAGCAGTGACTAGCTGTCGATCGGATCGGTCGGGTCGGTGGTTGGTAGGTATTGATTGCTCATCTAACCATGTTTTATGGTTGGGGAGGGAGTGTGACGACCGACGACGCCAGCAACCAGGGAGCGTCTCGGGCTCTTTGCTCGAGATGTTGTGTGGTGCAGTGTCTTGAAGCTGCCTTGCTGATAGTGAGTGTGCAGGCTTTCCGGCTACGGTTAGTCAAGACGGCCGGGCTTGGTAGGAAAAGGCGATGTGTAAGATGCAAAGTGCAAACAAAAGATGGATAGATGGGTTGATGAACAGCGCTGGGCGGTGGAAGTGGAGGAGAAGGAGGGGGAGGGATGAGGAGGTTGGGGAAGGTTATGGAAGGTTGTGCCGATATGCTTCCCCGTCGAGCTGTCCGCCAAGGGATCTTGTTGGAGTCTTTGCCGGGCAGACTCGACCAACCAGTTTACAGAATCCCTGCCAGTGAGACCAGGCCAACAGGACTAGCTGCGGTCTGCAGTCTGCAGCAACTCAAAAAGAAGACTGGAGAATGGAAGAAACGGGGGGACGGATCCAATAATTCAACAATACAACAGATTGAGTGATCCAATGGCGAGCTCGTTGACAGACGCGGGGCGGAGGGAGGAAAGAGAATCACAACACGGAACGAAATATCGAAGGGTTCCCTCGATTATTTGGTCGAAAAAAAAAAGAAGAAAAAAAGAAAAAAAAAAATGGAAAGAAAAAAATGGAAATGCGTGTCGCTGATGCCAAGTGTAAGTATGCATGCATGCATGCCTAGCCGAGAGGCGGGTACAGCGCCATCTGCAACAAAGAAAGAGGGTGTGGGAGAAGACGTCGTTGGGGATAATCGCTACCTACCTGCCGAAGGTAGGTGTGGTGGGTATTCGCTGTAGGTAGGTAGTTTACCGTTTCGGGGTCGGTAACGATGTCTCGGTCCTCCCTGTTTGCCTCTTTGACCAAGGCACTTTTGAATTCCCATATCCTCGTGTGCATACCCACTAGGTACCCTAGGACCTACAGTAAGTAGGTACATTAGCGTGCTTGGTTAGTAGCAGTAGCAGTAGTACTGTAGTTGTCCACCGGCATGTGGCACCTGTACTGTATTCCATCCTCGTATACTATGCCTCGTCCCGAAGTCCGTAGGGCGCCCGTATCTCGGCCTTTCGTCCAGACCCCTTGTGTCCTGCGTCCATCCTGCGTTCTGTCTTTTGCGTCCGGTCCGTCACTAAGTCGGTGCGGCGCGGCGCTGCATGAGGCGGCAAGAAGCAAACAGCGGCGGTGGCCTCACACACACACACACTTGCACATAGGTATATTTACACTCTCTGCTCGTATACATGCGGCGACTTGGTCCGGGAAGGACCATGGAGAAGACGGGACGACTGACTGACTCGAACGAGTGGTTCAAACACTGTTCGATGTTGGGTTTGAATAAGGAAAAAAAGGAACTGGCGACATCTGGAGGTGCATCATCTCATCAAGGAACCATATTTGTAAAGTATTACGTAGTATATTTATTACGTTTCTCCTTCATGTCAAACCAGTCCTTGTCAAGGGACCCAAAAAAAAAAAAAAGAGTGAGATTCAACCCAGCTGGAACGCCGTTCTTCTGCGGCCTCCGAGGGGGGGTAAGGGCGAGGGGCCGTCGGGGTTCCCTGGCGGACGTCGCGCGGACATCCCGACGCTGCGCCCTGCTCCCTTTCCGCTCGAGCCTCGCGCGTGTGCAATGAGCATTATATCTCGTCACTGTCGACATTTTCCCCAGCGGACACTCGTGCGCGAGAGGGGCATTGATGGCTGGAAAGTCGCAATTGGGCCAGTGCTTCGTGCTCTCGGAACTCTATCAGTTGGGCTCACAACGAAAACGAGCTGCTTAGCTAAGTGCTTATTCTACTCAAGTTACCTAGTTTAAGGTACCTACCTGCCTTACCTTATCTACGACTAGGCAACGTCCTGACACCACGAGGAAGACGATGCTATTTGTGGTCTAAGGTACTCCGTATCATCATTCGTATTGGCAACGGTAAACGGTTCAGGGGGAGGGGGGAGGGGGGAGGGGGACATTACGTCATTCCATCTGCCAGCGTCGCACTCAGCCGCCTCCGGAAACATGCTCTGCAGATCCAGTAAGCGAGTTTCCTTCGTGCTCACCTTGAACCGACGACACGTCTTATTGCACCCTTCGTTGAGGAAACAAGCGAAACGCAGTGAACCAGGAAGATACTTACAAATAGTGGTGTACTTGTGCATCATTGGGAGGTTTTCTAGTATACACTAATTTTCGTGGGCATCAAAACCAGGGTCCTTCCAGAAATAAACACAATCCACCAAGAATCAACAGTACGTACCTGTATGTAGTCCATCCCCCCTTTGCCCTATCCGGATTTCCAGTTTCCAACGCCTTTCTCCCTGCCCCCGTCGCCACCGCGACCAACTTTACACATGGTACTCCGTACCTCTAACGAAAGCACCAAGATCCAGAGCTTGCGCCGCCTCTCTCTCCAAGGGAGCGAAGCGGGCCCCCCCTAGTCCCTCGTTTCCTTTCGGGAAATGACCGTCGCCTTATGAGATCAGTAGATGGGGTAGCTTACGATGCGGCTCACGGCACCTAACCCCTCCCCTCCTCTCTCTCCCGCATGCCCACA